GGATTTTGTTTTCTCATGATGTTAATGACCACTATAATTTGGAAAGTAACAAGAACTGTTAAACAAACAATCACCTGTTGAAGAGGATCAGAAAATCTAGACTTCTTCCTCTTGATATTTATTTTTCATTGTCCATTGGAAGAAATTTAAATAAAGGAAACAAGATAACTGGTACCATGTTTGAAATAAATAGTTGTTATATAACTATTGTGTTTATATAAGAAGGTGGCTGAGCCTTGCAGTGGTGGCGCACGCCTTTAATCCCAGCACTCAGGAGGCAGAGCCAGGAGGATCTCTGTGAGTTTGAAGCCAGCCTGGGCTACCAAGTGAGTTCCAGGAAAGGCACAAAGCTACACAGAGAAACCCTGTCTCGAAAAGCAAAAGAAAACAAACAAACAAAAAAAGAAGATGGCTGCTATGGTTTGAACAGGGTTTCTACCCTCCAAGCCTCATTTAGAAACTTAGTTCCCAGTGCAGCAGTATTGAGAAGTGGGGTCTTTGGGAAGAGACTGTGTCATGGGGGCTCTGGATTAATCAACTAATGAATGAATGGGTGTCTTAGTCTATTGCTGTGGTAAGAAACCATGACCAACCAAACTTGTAGAAAAAGAGTTTGGGGCTTATGGTTTCACAGGACTAGAGTCCATAACATTTATGGTAGGGAGCATGGCAGCAGACAAACAGGCATAGTGCTAGAGCAATAGCAGAGAGCTTACATTTTATCTGCAAGTAGGAAGCGGTGTGTGTGTGTGGGGGGGGTCATAGACAGAGACAGAGAGATGTAGAGACAGAGATAGACAGAGACAGAGAGAAACAGTGCTGAGAATGGCAAGAGTCCTTTGAAACCTCACGTCCCATCCTCAATGGCACATCTCTTCCAGCAACACCATATCTCCTAATCCTTCCCAAACAATTCTACCAACTGGGAAATGACTGGTTAAATATATGAGCCTATGGGCACTATTCTCATTTAAACCACTATAGCAGTGGCTTAACAGGTTATCTTGGGAGTGGCTTTGCTATAACAGGGAATCACTCTGGCCTATGTGCTTTGCTTCAACTGAGTTGCCTTCTGCCATATGGAGATGTAGCAAGGAAGCCCTCACCATATGCTTGTCAGATGTTTATGTCATGCTCTGGACTCCCTGCCCCCAGAATACTGAGATGAAAAAATTTTATTCTTTGTAAACTACCCAAATTTAGGTATTTTGTTATAGCAACAGGATATGTGCTAAGACACTAGTATTCTGCATTTGCTATTATCTCTGTAGCTTTATATCTAACTACTATGCAATGCTGGGGTAATCTACTGTATATTTTTAAGATGAGAGCTTTTGTCTTGGTACCTAAAATGTAGTACAGGTCTAGAAGGATCAGCATCACCTAGGAGGTTATTGTCAAAACTTCTCATGCCCTATTCTAATCTCACTAAATCAGAATTTTTTAAGCAAAATCTCTGGGAAAACTGCATACATGTTAACATTTGAGGAGCATTAGATCTGGATATCTATACTATGCCCATGAAATCAGTAATACATCATGCTTGAAATTAGACAGTTGAGGATCAATCAACACATAAAATGTATGCTTTAAAAATTTAGATTTCAACTAGTTACAGGACCTAAGAAGCCCAAATAATTCGCAGTGGTGAATCATAGGAAAAACATAACTAACTGTACTTACAAATTGTGTTCTGTATTTGAAACTAGGGTTCACTATAGCCTGGCTGGCATGAGACTTGCTATGCAGGCCAGACTGGCCTTGGACTTAGAGATTTCCATCTGCCTCTACTTCCAGAATTCTGAGATTAAAGGCATGTAGCACCACTTAAATTTTTTATCCACACATCGTTGAGTTCATTACCTAGGTCTGAAGGACTGACATATTATGGTCTGCTAGGGAACTGTGTGATGTTACTTTACCTGACTTCTGTGAGGACAGACAATAGTATATTTATTGTGTGTAACTTACATGTCTCACAAAACAGAACACCAAAGTGTTTTGATTTTCTCCTTGTCTTTCTTTGGGCTGATTTTCAGATCTCCAAGTTAAAAAAAAAAAACTTGTTTGCAAACCTTATGGAATGCATATGTTATCATACTAAGATCCCACCCATTCCAGAGAGGGAGTATTATTTTGATATACAAGAATGACACTGCATTGTAGCATGGACATAGCATTACATGTAAGTAATAGTCATTTCTGGCATTCATTCATTTATTCATTTGTCTGTAAAAATAAGAGTATGCTTATGAAGGATTAAAAAAGGAAGGGTAAAATGCAATGAAAGGAAATTAATTGCACAAATTTATTTCTTCCCTGAATAGCAAGAGAGGATTGCTTTTTGGTAAAATTTAGCTGAACATAATTTCAACCAGCTGAGAAAATGTAAACTTGATTTGATGTTCAACAATAACACTTAGATTTGTTTAATGCTTGTTTTGAAAATAATTCACTCTACATAAAATTTTTAGTGTAATTACTACCTGTAGGGAGAAAGAAGATGCAAGCCGGTTGCCATACATTTCCTGGCTCTATCTAGCATAAATAAGGCAAAATACTTCCAGTATAGTTTTATGGTGCCTTTTCCTTTAAGCATGTCCCTTTTCTAAAGTCACTGCTGCAAGATACTGAAAAACATTTAATGAGAAACATAAAACATGTGCAGATAAAGTAGGGAAAATATATGTGTATTGAGAGCCACTAAGACAGTGCAGTCGCCATCTTTATAATTTAGGTGTCTTGACACAGTTTTATTCCCAACTGGTTGCAGTCATTTTTCTGCTGCCTCCCAAATAAGCAAATTTTATCGTTAGTAGGTGCATAAAGCTTGTATTTGGTGGTTATAACATTGCCTCTGGGTTTAGTTTGATAAAAAACCTGTTTCATTGGAAAGTAAATCTTGTTGCCTAACAGAATTATGAGTCTAAACTGAGCAGAACTCCAGGGAAACATATGTTCTCTTCTGTTAGTTTTAAAAATGTGAGTTTTTTACTTCTAATTCCTTGTTTGACCAACGAGAGGTCAGAGGTTATAGAAGATTTGTTTATAATGCATTCAAGTTCTTTTGCATTGCATGTATATGTGATCATTGTTTGGATGCCATAACTTCCCAGTACTTCAGATATGGAATTGTGTGATTACAAGGTTTCTCAAAGAACCAGGAAAGCCCCTTCCCCCTTCATTCCCTACCAGACCCAATTTCAATTCTTAGTTTTCGGTCATTCAGGAAACCATCAAAGACCCATTCAGAAAAGCCCAGAGTGATGGCTCATGGGTATGAAAATGTGCTGGCTCTTTACAGATGAAGCTGGAAAAAATCGTGTGAACCATTGCCACTGACTTGTCATTAGACAATTCCCTCCATGCATTGTAAAACGTACAGTGGTTGTGATTCAGTTGTTGATAGTGTGTGGTGTCTTTAGAGCTCTTTTTTTCTGCGCTATTTCCTTCTCAGGTAGAATGTCTTTGCGTGCTTGTAAATTTTTATAAAATAGCTGTGAACTATTGGCCAGATCAATTTATATAACAAAGTCATATTACAGCTTATTTCAGAAAAAGCATTTGAGCTGCTCTCATTATCACCAAGCAGTTAATTAGCTGCTCAGATGTGCGTGTTAATGGGTAGGGCACTTTGTTGTTCCTTAGAAATTATTTTTATATTTACTTGATGTTCTTTTTTAAAGAACATACTCAACATTCTTTTTACAAAACAGACTGGTTTCTATATTTATATAATTAACACTTTTTCTGTGGTTGTTCAACAGCATTTCCTACACTTATAGAAATCACTAGAAATCACACTTATTTTATTGTAGCCTAACTTCCCTGAGACTTCATTCATTCATCCAATGCATATTTATTATCAGTCATTCTTCTAATTACTTCAGTGAACAGAGCAGACACTATTTCTATGGTGCAACTTCCGCTGATTAAAAAAACAAAACAGGAGCCGGGCGGTGGTGGCGCACGCCTTTAATCCCAGCACTCGGGAGGCAGAGGCAGGCGGATCTTTGTGAGTTCGAGGCCAGCCTGGGCTACCAAGTGAGTTCCAGGAAAGGCGCAAAGCTACACAGAGAAACCCTGTCTCGAAAAACCAAAAAAAAAAAAAAAAAAAAAAAAAAAACAGAAACCTCAAGATGATGAAACTAATCCCAATCTTTAGCCTAGAAAAATCCAGACATTTTGTGAGGAAAGAAGACGTTGGGAGGGTGGGGGGAAGTTAACGGTTTCTGGAGTTTAATCATAAATTTAGGTTGATTGTGTATGCCTACAGTGTGGTGAGAGAACCAGCAAACACTAATTCTCTTTGCTCTGGGTGGAAGCCAGGGCTGCATCTAAGATGTACTCTTCCAGTGCTGGAGTGTTCTTTCAGACTCCCAGAATCTGAGGTTGAATTCAGAAACTGACAAAGACCATTCTAAAGGTGGTGTTAAGCCAAGATGGCCAGAACCCATTGAAAAGTTTGCCCACTTGCCCTTAGGGACAGGCTGAGGGACTGCTCCTGTAGAATTGTACCATGTCATAAAGTTGGAAAGCTTCAAAATCGCGGTAAGGGAAACCGATTCCCTTCCCTTCCCTTCTCTCCTGTTCACAGATTGGCCCTTGGATCCTAATTTGATCCCATCCAGTTCCTCCCCTTCCCACAGTAACCTTCTTTCCCCCAATCCTCCAGGGATGCGCATGCGCGGAAAGATTCTGGCTCAGGCTGCTCGAGCCTGGAGGCATCGATTGACTCGGTGCTCGGCTCGTCGACTTATCTGCGTTCGATTGAGGAGTGTAGCCGCGCTCTTCCGGCGCCAGGCAGCTCTTCCGGTTTTGGCTTCAAGCGGGACGGCGCGGACCTCAGGTGGGTTCGTCGGGGCTCTTCCTAGCTGTGGGTGATCTCGGGGCTTGGCCGGATCCTCCCAGTCGGAACCGAGCCAGCAAGGGCGAAGGTGTCGTCGGCTGCACGGTCTCCGGCTCCGTGGAGGGTGCGATCTAGGGGAGGAAGGGGCGGCGACCCGGGTCCAGGCCCAGTGTCTCATCTCTTCCTGTTCTCAGCGGGGTGACTGGGGTTTTTAGCGCCCGTGGGGTCCGCCTGTTGAGCAGATTGACCGGTGTGTGAAGAGGCTCAAGCTGGCGCATAGGAATCCGCTCTGGGGTAAAGATTGGCCCGTTGTTTGCTCGGGGGCATTTACGGTTCGCTGAACACTCAGCGCCCCCCCCCCCGGGCTCAGCAGCCTTTAGGGTGTGTGGAGGGCATTTCGGGTGCCCTTGCGCTCTTTCAGCCCGCAGGAGCTACTGCCAGAGCTTCTGCTCTGGCCCCTCTCTTCCCTGAGACCCCAGCCCTTCTCCAGGTTCCTGTTAACTGTTACCTGCGTAGTACAGGTCCTTCTTGTAAGTCATCCCGTCATAGTCAGCACAGCATGTTGACCCTTTGGCTTGTAACAGCCATCAGTAATGAACTTTAGATGCATACTGATGCAGACCGTTAGATACACGTCTCATTTAGTCTTCTGGGCTCCACTTTGTAGGTGCTGTTACTATCCCCAATGTGTAGCTGAGACCTGACATGCTAAGGAACTTGCCACCCCTCAGCGAAGCAGATTGTAAACGCATAAACAGAATTTAAATCCGGAACCCATTGGTGCCAGAATCTGAGCTCTTAACTGTCTTTCTAAATTGTTTTCTGAGAGTATCATTCCTTTCGGATCTGTGAGAGGAAATCCCGAAGTCAGCCTTGGAGGTGATGATATATGTATTAAGGTGTATATAAATTAAATACATTTGAGAGCTGTTGTGATATCTCAGCAGGTAAAGGCACTTTTTTGCCAACCTTGAACACTTTTGAGTTGGGCCCCTTGAGACTCACATGGTGGGAGAAGAGAACCTGGCGGTGAAAGGTTGTTCTCTGACCCCAGCTTTCATAGTAACACTCATACATATACACACACACCAAATAATAATAATAATAATAATAATAATAATAATAATAATAATAATAATAACAACGTTTAAATAAATAGGTTTGTGAGTGCACAATTTTATTATTGTTCTATTAAGATGTTTTGTGTTTTTTTTTTTGAGACAGGGTTTCTCTGTAGTTTTGGTGCCTGTCCTGGATCCCACTCTGTAGACCAGGCTGGCCTTGAACTCAGAGATCCACTTGGCTCTGCCACCCAAGTGCTGGGATTAAAGGCGTGCGCTGCCGCCACCACCACCACCCGGCCTACAATGATTTTTTTAACTAGATGTATGTTTGCTAGTTTCTTACATAGATGTTTAAATCACTTCACTGAAAAATTTTTTCCAGTGAATATGATGAAAATATATTTATTGTATGACATTCTCAAAGAATTAGCAAATATACTTTTAAAAAGTTATTTCATTATGTAGATGGAAAGACAGTATCATTTTTAGAAAAAGTAGTACCTTAAATAAAATATTTCTGAATCTGCCTATGTATTGATGTACTACCGAGTTTTGATCTTGAGAACTATTTTCCATTTGTCTAAAATGCCCCAGTAGTGGCTAGGGAGAAATTATTGTCTAGTGCCAGCTGACATTTTCTGACATCTGGGGTGGAAAAATAATTTAACACTAATGGTTCTTGTATTTTGTCGTGTCATACGCCTGTATGATTTAACCCTCCTTGCTAATAACGGATTATGTCTTTCTTTTAGGCTATTTGAAAAGTTTTACGCAAACATGGATATCAGACCAAATCACACTATTTATATCAACAATATGAATGATAAAATTAAAAAAGAAGGTATGGTCTTTTAAAAATACTTGTTCACCACTAAAATGTGTTTATTCACCTGTGTCTTGAGAATGTGTCTTAATGTCTCTAGTCTTCTTTCCTAATGCTCTACAATGGTTTATCCCATTTTACACAACTTGAGGGTTTTTTAATGTAAGAATATACGGAGATTCAAGTGCCTTTAATTGTTTTAACTCATAAATGGTTTCAAATAACTTTAAATTAGGTAGCTAATAAGAATAGTGTGGTGTGTTTCTTTTTTCAAATTACTATAAGTAAGTGAATGATAGAGGTGGTCGTTGTATTGTTATTTTATGAAGAACTTAGTCATTGTTACATTCACAGATTGTTTTTCTTCTTATTTGCACAGAGTTGAAGAGATCCTTGTATGCCCTGTTTTCTCAGTTTGGACACGTGGTAGATATTGTGGCTTTAAAGACCATGAAGATGAGGGGTCAGGCTTTTGTTATATTTAAGGAACTGGGCTCATCCACAAATGCTCTGAGACAGTTACAAGGATTTCCATTTTATGGTAAACCAATGGTGAGCTAATCCTATTATTTCTGCTTTATTATTGAGTGGTACAGTAGGTTTTTAAGTATGGACTTGATGTTAGGCTATTTTCTGTTTGTTTAGAAAAAGTTGGTTGTTTTTTTTTTTTAACACAAAGGTATTTTGTTCATTTTGAGACAGGGTCTCTGGTAACCTAGGCTAGCCTTAAACTTGTTGTGTAGCCAATGCTTAATTCTCTTGACTCTACCCCCTAATTGCTGGGATGATAGGTATGCACTACCTCAGAAGGCTTATATAGATATTTTTATAAAATGCACTACTAGAGCTGAATTAATTATTAACTTATTCCAGTTAAAATGAGCAAAACTAAAATATATTGTACATCACTGAAAAATAGGATGGCAACACAGACAAGATTTTTTAATACATTAGAAATTAAGGTAGGCGGTACATGTATGGATTCTCAGCTCTTGGGAGTGGAGGCAGGAGGATCAGAAGTTCAAGGATATCCCAGGCTACATGAAACTGTTTCAAATAACCAAGTAGGAAGGGGTGGTCCAAAGGGCCTGTGTTTAACTCAATTAGGAGGCCCATGGGAGTAAGACTGGGTGACAGCGGATTGGAAAAGTCTCGAGTCTTAGTACATACACTGTACCCTCAGTGTAGACTCATGCTGCCTTTCTGCTGGGAAGTCATGTAAAGAGGTCTTGAAAAACCAAGGCCTGTGGCTTAGAGGATCTGAATCCTCATTGGTGTTCTGTCATTAGCAGATTCTGCATCTCTATTTACTTGTACAGCCACTAAAATAGGAGCAAGGTGAATCATCGGTTTAATCCAGAGATCAGCAGAAACTCTGAAGAACTAGATAGATATTACAAGCTTTGCTGACCACATAAAGTTTTTGATCCTATTGTCCTGTTTATTTATGTGTTTTGAACCTTTTAAAATTGTGTTAAAATAATTGTTAACTCACAAGCGGTACAAAAATAGGTCATGATCTGGATTTGGCCTAAAGGCTGTATGAAAGTACACACTGATGGTCTGGCCCCTGCCTATCATGGAGAAATGTAGCCGAATTTCTAAGTGGTCTTATTAAATAAAAAACACGGACCCAAGTATAGGGGGAAAAGCCTCAGAGATCAGGGAAATAGTGAAAGCCACCAACCAACCTTACCTCACCAGCTCTGCAGCTTCCAAAATGCCACAACTTCCTGTCTACCCAGGCTTTTATTGCCTTGCTGTTCTGCCATCTTATTGGCTCTTAGCCCAGCTACCTCACTTTCTTGTCACTTCCTGTCTGTACAGACCTCCAGGTCTCTATGGTTGGTCCTGGAATTAGAGGCATGTGTCAGCATGCTTGGCTCTGTTCCCTAGTGTGGCCTTGAACACACTGCCTGCCAAGGGATCGGGATTAAGGGCGTGTGCTACCACTGCCTAACTTTTGTGTTTACTTAAAACGGTTTGCTATTTCCTCTGATCGCCAGGCAAACTTTATTTACTAACATACAGATAAAACATCACCGCAGAGAAGGACTGGGCATGAGCTAATCTCGTTCGTAGGATGTAGTCCTATAGCCGGTGGTAGCATCAGTGCTCGGACACTAAGTAAACATTTAGGATTATCATGCTTTTATATGCTAGGAGGGAACATATTTTTCCAATAGGTCAGGTAGTAAGATTGCAGGCCTTGCTAGCCAGATGCTCCTCTGTCGTAACTCTTTACTTAGACAAAGCAGTGAAACCAGGTGAATGGCTGTGACTGCTCCAGCCAGCCCTACAGTGTTAGCTGTCACCAGCCGTTTAGGGCCTCTGCCCTGTATCACACTGTTCCCTGAGTTTCAGTAAGATGAAGTTTCCTGAAGTCAGTTACTATTACTTAATATGAAGAATTTGCATAATCTAGATTTCTTTTGCTTGGAGCTCAAGACTTTAGGCAATTTGGCTAAATTGAAATGGCAAGTTGGCATGTGCCTGGTTAGCTAGATATAAGACAGGAGGAAACGTTTGCTGTCTTTGGCACGAGCCCCACCTTGCCAACTCATTGAAATGAATGCAAAATGTCCATTGGCCTGATTTTACACTGAAGGTATTTTAGAGGCCTGTTCTCTGTCTGCCTTGAGGAAGCTGAGGAGGAGCTGCCAGATCGCCAGCCTCTTGACGGGATAATAAGATGCTTTGATCTGCCTTGCGTGTATTTAAATGCATTTAGGTTAGATCAGCAGTGAGCAGAATTTGCTTCAATTTCTAACTCAGAACAAAATGACCTCAGTAAAGTAGAACTACCATCCTGAGGGTTTCTGTCTGATCCTTTTGGAATAAATTTAATCTTGCTCTTTCCTGTCTTTAAGAGATGAATTGTAATTTATTTTTATGGGTATTTGGACCAGAGTTTCTTAGTAATGGCACTTGGGGTTTTTACTGTTCACCAAGGTGTTTAGCAGAATTCCTGGCCTCTACACACTAGAAGCTAAAAGCGTCTCAGCTAGCAGTATCTTTATAGTGCTGAGTAACCCTGGACAGGCTGCATTATGTCCTTTTAAGAGCCATTGGTGAGATCAGATACTTTCTTAGGTGATTGTGTTACAACGGCAGACAAGTCAGGTACCCAAGATCTGTTCAGGTCAGGATCAGGGTTGGGGACCTCAGAGAACTGACTTCTGAGTGGTAGAATTTGAGCCTCAGCAGCGTGTCTTGTCTGTTAGAACATGATGGGAAGGTTAGCAGGGCTGTCTGGCATCTGCTGCAGTAGACTAGTCCGCACTGGCCAGGCAAAGCCTGGGGTTCTGAGGGATGCTGCCTGCTTTCCTCCCCTTCCCCAGTGTATTCTTTCCTAGCTGAAGGAGAGGAAAGAGAATTGCTTTGCTTTTAAGAAATTCTTGCCTTCTGATCCACACTACTTTAAAATACCTTTTCTTCTCTTCAAATATCAGATTCTTGGGATAGGAATACTTTGTAGGATTATTGTGTTTTGATGTCATCAGAGACATGTTGACTCTTTGAGCTCTGGAGGTGTGTTTGGTTGAATGGAAATTGCAACTTGCAGGCATTTATACCCTAGGTAACTGTACAGGTCATTGGCAGAAATATTTGGCCATTTCATCAGTGATGGATTTAGCTATGTGGCAAATTCAGTCTGTCTAAAGCCCCATTCCTCAAAGCTGGCCATCATTCTTTTTGTGCTTGCAAAAGACGTAGAATCTGAAGCCTTACCTAGACTGTCTGTGTCAGGCTCTCTGGGCTGTTGAATTGGGCACTGTAGTTGACAAAACACTAGTGTAGGCCAGTGTTTTTGAATGCTCACTGATGTCAGGTGCCTACCATCTTGCAGGTTCTGTCTGGTATAGAAAAGATTAAACCCAGGCATTGCAGCTGATATCTGTCTTTCTGTTTCCTCTCAAGCCACTTTAACATTTAAGTTATTGAATTTATTTTTTGAAAATGATAGATTCAAAGGAAAGTCATTTACAGATTTCAGTATTTTAGTCACTGTAAGTAACAAATACCACGCTACATCCCACAGTTGATTGACACATTGATCCTTTTGTTGGTCATTGATAAGTTTTCATTGTTACTAAGTGAGAAAAAATGGCAGTGTAGCATCTTCAGCCTTGTTCTTACCATATGCCGTCTGGTCTATTTGCTTTCTGTTTGTTTTGTGATAGTGGTGGGAATTGAACTTGGGACTTCATACATGATAAGCAAGTACTCTCCTACTCTGATGTATCTTTACCTTTTGACCTTTTGTTTTAAAATAGAGTCTGACTAAGGTGTTCAGACTGGCCTTGAACTTGCTCCATAGCCCAGGCAGACCTCTTGATACAGCCTCCTGAGTAGCTAAGGTTACAGGTTTGAGCTACCCAGCTAAACTTCATTTGTCCTTTAATAAAGACAGTTGAGTATAGTGTGCCTTGGTTGTGAATCATACGCCACTACTTATTTCCACGAATTTCTTTCAATGATTTCCTTAAAGATGTGTTTAAAATTAGTTTGCAGTGTATTTATATACTGGGATTTAAAAGGTTAACAACTATTGTAAACAGTCTTCCACAAAGTAATGTAATCTGTTTTCCTATAACTACAACAGCGAATTCAATATGCAAAAACAGATTCTGACATAATATCTAAAATGCGTGGCACTTTTGCTGACAAGGAAAAGAAAAAGGAAAAGAAGAAAGCTAAAACCATGGAACAGGCTGCAGCAGCTGCAAACAAAAAGCCTGGCCAGGTGAGACAAATAATTCCATGTATGGAATTGGGGGGGGAGGGGGAGCGAGCAGGGGCGGATTGGTGTGTACACTGGATCAGGTTTCTCTGTGGCAACAATTTAAAATATCTCAGACATACCTATTGGCGTTTTTCTTAAATTCTCCCTATAAATCATACATAATCTCTTCATCATGAGTATCCTACTCAGAGCTTCTTTGAACAATTCAAGAAGCAAAAGGTGAAATCTAATAAAAGTAAAATTATCCAAAAAAAGTTACTTTTGAGTTAGAAATTATTTAAATCCATTTGACATATAGTGATTATATGAAATTGTTTTTAAAAAGTAAGATTGCTCCTTTTCTCCATCATTATTTTTTTGATATAAGATCTCAGCTCTTGTAGCCTAGCTGGAGTCTGTTCACCCTCATTACCCTCCTGCCTCAACTCACAGCATGTTTGGTCTCTCCATCATTTAAAGTTTAAATGTTAAAGCCAGTCGTAATGATGCACACCTTTAATCCCAGCACTGATGAGACAGAGGCAGGTAGCCTGGTCTACATAGTAAACTCCAGGACAGCTGAGCCTACATAGTGAGACCCTGTCTCAAAAAAAACAGTTCAAATGTTAAGTTTTATGATGTGGTCTGTAGAGTTGAAGGACATACATTTCAGAAATGATTGACAAACTAAGTAAATAGTGAAGACATAGGGATCTTAAAGTAAAATGAAATAGGGGATCTTTTACAGTTAGTGTTGCTTTATGTTATGTTTACGTTATAAATTGTAGCTGCTTTTTTTAACATGACTGAGATTTAACCATTTCTTAATCCTAATTTCTTTTTTTGTAGGGAACACCAAATTCAGCTAATACTCAAGGAAACGCAGTGCCAAATCCTCAGGTAATGTTTTCCTCCATGGGGTGCTTACCTTAAAGATCATAAAAATTATGGCAATATAAAATAGTGTGCATGTCAGCAAAAGCAAGTGAATCCATTTGCAAAACATAATTGCCTGTCACTTAAGGAACTCACTTTTCCAAACATTTAAATTTGCCTAAGATGAAGAAAACCTGGCCTGATTCCTGTTTCCCATGAATCGGTGACAAGATCAAAAAGGCAAGGGGTGTGAGGGCTGACAAAGAGCTTTTATTTGGGGTCGGATGCAGTCAGGACTTTATAAATGTAAGGTCAGAGGCCTTTGTGAGGAACTGTTTCCATCCCAGATGGATGACACACCGCCTTGTCTTTCTCAGAGTCACATTGGGCAACAGTGTTTGCAGTTAGCCTTGCTTCCACTTCCCCAGCACAAATATTCAGTCTTATTTATTTATTTATTTATTTAAAGTTTCCTGCTTTGAGTAGAGTCTAAATTACAGAATTTGACATCCACATCTTCTCTGTACCACCAAGAAAGTTACAATATTAGAGTTGTATGCTTTTGAGTTTTTCTTCTCCTATGCTAGGCAAGTGCTCTACTGAGCTGCCCAGTACCCTTCACCCTCACTGAGAAAACAGTCTTGATGCTACTCAAACTCTGAATCCTCTTGTTTCAGCCTCCTGATTGCTGGGATTACAGATAGTTGTCAGCATACCTGACCCTTTGCATGCTCTTATGATCTTTCTTTCTGTTCTTTGAACTCTTTCAGAACTTGTAGTCAGTTCACAAATACCAGCACTTAATTCTTTATCTTGAGCTGTTCACTAATTGCTTTTTACACTTGATCTTCTCTGTCCATGAAATTAGCAAGTAGACACAGTGTCGTCTTAGATATAAATCCTTTATGTACTCCTTGTAGTCTCAGGATGGGGTAGCAAACATGTGATTTAATATCTAATATTCTGCTTGGTTCTGCTTGTTTTATATAAGTAGATGCAGTACATGTCATTTACAGTGCACATGCATGCACAGGAACATACACAGAGTAAATGTCAGCAGGCTGTGGTTGTCAATAGTAATGTTTTAGTTTTTAATTTTCTGGTGTTCTGGTAGTTAACAGTGATGCCCAGGAGTCACATGTTGGAGTGTTAGCTGAGTAGAGTTATCAGTTGAAGTTGATGTTGCTGCCTTTTCTTGTTTTTAGACTCTTTGAATTCTGTTCCAGATGACAGAATTCCCCAGTTATGACTGACCTACAAGTGTGTCATTAAATACTGTTTTCACAGAATCATAACCTTTCAGATTTGGGGTATCCTGTTGAATACCCCTGTTGGCTTCCCCTGTTGTTAGGTTTTTATCTGTATCTCTCTTGCCATTGTTTTCAGCGTTTGTTTTGGTGTATTAAGGTTTCACAAACCCATAAAAGCTTCAGTGGAGTTCTCTGAAGAAGAGTTTTCATGTTTCTTACAACCAAATACCTCACAGCACTGTTTATATTCACAAGCTAATTTTGCCTTTTGTTTCTAATAGGTCCCCGATTACCCTCCAAACTATATTCTGTTCCTTAATAACTTACCAGAAGAGACGAATGAGATGATGTTATCCATGCTGTTCAATCAGTAAGTTCTTTACTAAACAGATCTCTTTGTAGGAGCCTCCTAACAGGGTAAATAGTGCTTCTGTGGCCTGAGTTCATTTGTCACCCCACAGCACTAGTTCTCTGTAGGGTCATTGATTTAGTCTTGGACTAATTGTGGATTGAAGCCTGTCTCCAAGCTTAGCAAATAAAAATCTAGATTTCCTCTGTTGGAGCTATTCTAATAGATGGGGAAAACAGGAAACAAACTTTTGACAGAAGTGGAATTAGCATGGGCTCTTGGAGTTCCGTCATGGTATAATTTTATAACAAGTGCCTCTATCCTACTTGGGATTCTTCACTGAATGTGATTAGTTTTCCTAGACCAATAGCGAGTTGTTTAACAAATTTGTTTGTACATTTGCCTGTATTTATTGCTTTTTTTTTTCTAGGTTCCCTGGTTTCAAGGAAGTTCGCCTGGTACCTGGGAGGCATGACATTGCATTTGTAGAATTTGAAAATGATGGACAGGCTGGAGCTGCCAGAGATGCTTTGCAAGGGTTTAAGATCACACCATCCCATGCCATGAAGATTACCTATGCCAAGAAATAACATTTGGAATAGCCAGTTTTAAAGGACTTGGTATTATTTATAATGTTCGTTTTGATTACATTGGGTCAAGTCATTTTAGTGGTTGGAAGTGAAAGTGAAGTTTGGGGGAAAGAGTCACCTAATGTTTTTTTAGTTTTGGTGAACTGTGAAATCTAAAGCCTTAATTTTGTACAATAAACTTTTATTTGTATTCTGTGTACTTACCACTGTTTACTGGTCTGATGTTCAACCATCAAATGCTTATTTCAATATAGAACACATCTGAAAGTGTGTAAAACTCCATAATGGAAGTTTGTATTATTTAGGAGCAGTGGATGATACAGAAGTTGAAGGGTGCAGATTGCAGCAGCTAATGAAGAGCGTGTTAATAGTAAAATGATCAGTCTGCTATTAAAAAACATGCAGTTTGCCTCATTCAGCCCATGGAGCATAGTATTTTGCAGGAGTAGGAATTCACGTAGTATTAAATAGTGGCGATTTGCTAACAGCTGCTTACTATTTTCTAGAAAAACTACAAGTAGGAATGCTCCGTTCAGTGGAACATTTTACTTTTTTTCCTTAATGGAGGTTAATATCTAGTTTCAATCCTGAATGACTTTCAAGGATCCCAGACTTTTTAGTGCCTGCCTAGGATTCCATCACTATGGAGACAGAGACAGGAGGATCACTGCAAGTACAAGACTAGCTTTAGCTTTTCCTTGAGACCCTGCCTCAAAAAGACAAATAAGTGAATAAAATGCTAGACCTCCAAAAGGGAATCTCTAATGTTTCCTAAAACAGAGCTCATCTTCCTTCTTTGTGATGCTGAGAGTGTGCACAGTTAGATGTTAGGCATGCAGTCTACCACTGAGCTTTTTGTCCCTGCCCATTGTTTAAGGATATTTGTTTTGGGACAGGGTATTATGATGTAGTCCGGGCTAACGCCAAACTCACCACATGTGGGATGATAGGCATGTGCCCCTAGTGCAAGCTTTTTGTAATTGTTAAACAGCTACATAGTTCCAAAAGCTTCTCTGGTTTTGCCTTATGACTTGATTTCCTCCCACTGATGAAACCATCTTTAGAAGTTGATTTTATTTTTCAAATATAGCACATAATAAAAAAAAATCTTGTTTTAGTATTTCCTTAAAATTCTCTTATCACTTAGAGTTTTTCTTGTGTGTCTGCAGAAAGGTCAATTTTTTTTTTTTTTTAGAGTGTAGTTGGAAGTTTTCCTGTGTCCCACCCGATCCACAGCCACTCAGACCCAAATAAACACATAGGGGCTTATATTAAGAAACTGTATGGCCATTAGCTCAGGCTTATTACTGACTAGCTCTTATGTTTAAATTAACCCATAATTCTTATCTATGTTTAGCCACATGGCTTGGTACCTTTTCTCAGTTCTGCCTTGTCATCTTGCTTCCTCTGTGTCTGGCTGGTGACTCCTGACTCAGCCTTCCTCTTCCCAGAATTCTCCTTGTCTGCTTATCCTGCCTATACTTCTGCCTGGCTACCGGCCAATCAGCATTTTATTGAACCAGTGTCCAAAAGTATTATCTCACAGCATTTCCCCTTTTCTGTCTAATCAAAAAGGAAGGTTTTAACTTTAACATAGTAAAATTATATCTAACAAACAATTATCAAGCAACAATTACAGTTACAATATCTAGTCTATTTGTATTTGGCAAAATTAAATATTCTCTCTTATATTTGTGGGTCTAAAGTTTCATATCTAATTTATCTTTTATCATAACCAAGGAAAATTATAACTAGCCTTCAACTACATCAAAGACCCCAGTAGGGTATACTATTATCTAAGTAAACAGGAAGAGCATTGTAAGCAACTTGCAAAAAATCTAGAATGACAGAGACAGCTGTCTGCCTGGACAGTTATCCAAAGTTCCTCTGCAATGTTGGCATCCATGTTTAGCCTACAGGTGTAGAGTCTCAGTCTCCTTCCTGTGTCCTGTAGAATGTCTGGCAGTTTCTTCTGCAAAACAGGAACCTGAAGGACCATCTCACCTTGCAAAGTTCAATGGTTACCTTCTAAGGGTCCTGCATGTCCAGTTTATACAACATATCAAACAGTTGACACAAGGCCACTTTTTTGCCCAGTGGCTAACTTTTGCCACAAAGAAAGCAAACTCTATAATAAGTTTATTCAATGCCCATTATTTTCTCTGAAGTAGATTGGTGTTGCCAAGAGCAGAATTGTCTCAATGTTCAGAAAGTCAACATTCTTAAAACATTTTAAATGCCATATTCTGTAGGTCTTTGAAGTGTTTAAAGATAACCTAATTGAAATATATCTATATATACCTAGAAAACTTAACATGACTGTAAGTTTGACTATCATAGAAGACTATTAATCTGTATTTCTTAATTATCCCTTACAATTTAAATGAGCTGCACAAACATAATAACTTAAACAAGAATAGAAATATACATACAATATAACAAAATTAACTTTAAATTTGTATCAATAAACTAAAATCTATACCAATGTAAAACATTTTAAACAAGTTGCTCTTTAAAAGTAGTTTCAACAATCCATCCTTTTATCCTATCATATCTATATCCTATATTTTCATATCATATCTCCCTTTCTTCTTTTAGAAAGATATTGACTATGACCAATAACAATTTGTAACCAACAACCTAAACAAAGACAAACATCCATAATCCATTTTTTTGGGAATGTGGGCGTAGTTTTTTAGGCTACTTCCTGCTGATAAAGGATGCTGTATTCTTATGGAGATCCTGAGAAAATTAAGAATTATGGTCAAGTCCTGACTGGAATAGTACATGAGGCTGCATTGTCTGAGCCAGTTGCCTTGAAACCATTCTGGATATTGGATCATCTGGGCCATAGCGTCATCGGAGACCTTTCAGAGGATCTTGGCTGATCAAACCATATTAGCCTGGAAACAATTTGCAGGTTCACATATGTGGAAACAAAAGCAGAACCTTTTTTCCAAAGCAACATATCCTTACACATAAATTCTGAAATTGAGATACCTTTAAAATACACATATTGATTTAACTCATCAGTTCTTACAATCAAATGTCTCTCTGCAGTTAAAAATCCCAAAGACAATACAATCTGTGTGATGTCTATCTTTACATGGCTTAGTTTTTATATTACTTTCTCTTTAAAGACTATTTTTTTTAACTTTATATTTCTTTATATAACTATATATTCCTTTTCCTCTCCCAAGCCTACGTACATTTTTACATACATTGTAAACTGTTTAGGGTTTATTTAATCTGAACCTGTATTATGAATCTATTGCTTTAAACTTCAGGGTGATTAAGACAGAGAAGCGGCAGCCTTGGCTGCTGACTCCACCCACCTCAGCTTTTCAACATGGCAGTGGTATGTTTACCACCAACTCTGAGAGCCATGTGTACCACCAACTCTCGGAAGCAGTGGGTCTTAGTCTCCATTAAAGCAGGGTATAACCCAGAAGCCTCTTTTTTTTTTCTTTTTTGTACTAGTAAAGACTAAATCTATCACGCACCACATTGTGAAGCTTGTAGATGCCTCTGTGTACTGTGGAGGGAATCCGCAGCCATGCTGCTTAGCTCATGGTGGCTGGCGGCCAGCTCCATCTTGCAGGCAGCTGCCAGGAGATGAGTCTGCGCTGCTGTTGGCATGAGACTGTGAAACGAGGAAGCCTAGTGTGACTCCGTTTCTGTGTGTTCTTTAAGCTTTAAGCTTTCTTAGGTCTATGTGGATCAATGCCCCATGTTGAACACCAATTGTAGTTGGAAGTTTTCCTGCGTCCCACCCAGTCCACAGCCACTCAGACCCAAATAAACACATAGAGGCTTATATTAATTATGAACTGTATGACCATTAGCTCAGGCTTATTACTGACTAGCTCTTACATTTAAATTAACCCATAATTCTTATCTATGTTTAGCCACATGGCTTGGTACCTTTTCTCAGTTCTGCCTTGTCATCTTGCTTCCTCTGTGTCTGGCTGGTGACTCCTGACTCAGCCTTCCTCTTCCCAGAATTCTCCTTGTCTGCTTATCCTGCCTATACTTCCTGCCTGGCTACTGGCCAATCAGTGTTTTATTGAACCAGTGTCCAAAAGCATTATCCCACAGCATTAGATTTAGATAGAGATCTTTTATTACTCAAAAAATTATTAAGAGATCAACAAAATGAATTATTCCTAAAACTACTTTATCAAAGACTTATTTTTTCCAAATAAAAGTGAAATGTATCCAAACAACAAAATTATTATGACAGATAAGTGATTGCTTAGGGCTGAAGTTTGTCTGGGATGAGGGAATGCTGTAAATCAATTATGATTATGACATGATTGTATACAGTTGCCCAAACTCACAGATGGAACAGTAAAATCGGCAAATTTTACTGTGAGCATTATCTATTTGTGTTGGATGCAACAATTTGTAACATCAGTGGATTAGGAATAAAATGGCTGTGAACATACAGGTAAGTGTTCACACGTGTCTATGTTAGGTTTTGAACAAAAGGATGACATCTAATTTTAATAATTTCAATTGTATATAAAAATTGCAGAAATAGTACATAGAACTCCTGTCAGGACTTTTGACAGCCCTATAACTGGCAGTTCTGAATCGTTGGAAAGTGTGCTCCTCTGTTACTTATGACCTTAATTTTTAAAGGCTTTTATTTATCTTCCTTCTTTAATATCATGAGTCTAGGGATCACAAATATTATATTCCAGCAAGATTTGGCTAAAATAACAGATCCTGGACAGGAAAATTATCTTAGTATAAGCAATAAGGAAAATATGCAGAGCCAAATTTTCTATATATAATCTGTTATTATAGCTTAGATATTCTGCCCTCTTACTATGGCTTAGGATAGAAAAGGGGATGGAGAGAATACACGGTGCAGGGTGGCCGGGAGACTCACTGTTGGGTCCACTAATGGCAGGCTGGACCCAGAGAGTTCTTTACAGTATTTTCTTTTTGCTGGAGGGCTAGCTAGCTAGAAGTAACCTGGGAACGTGTGAACCTACGCATCTGGACATCACAGGATCACTCACCAGTACTGGGTTCTGTCAACCAGGCCTTTCCTGGAAGCACCTAAACTTAGTATCTAACTGTCCCCAGTGGACCTGTTCCCCAGTTGAGTGATCTTCCTTCCCAACCAGAAACAACAACAACAACAACAAAAAAAAAAGCTAAGAGGGGAGGGAGCTTGGTTTTGAAGGACTATCAAGAACATTTTTCAGATTGTCTTACTGTTCTTTTTAATGATAATACCAGTTGTACTTTAATTTCATTCCCCCACTGAATTTGGAGTTTGTCAGTATATGAGTAGTAAAGCAGATTTGCTGGTGGGATTATATCATCTGAATTAGGATCCAATTTACAGATTTAACAGAGGTCAGGACTGGACCTTAAGTCTATGAATTCTGAACATGGGGAGATCTAACTGGAGCATGGTGTTAAACTTTAAACTCCCATTCTCAAGTCAGAATATACATCACCCAGGAAGGGTTATGGCCAAGCCATATTTCCAAGTAAGATCAATTTTCTTAACTTGGGGTTTAAGGGATTGAATCTTACACACACACACAATTCACTTCGTGTGTGAGTGTGTGTGTGTGTGTGTGTGTGTGTGTGTGTGTGTGTGTATAACCAAGGGGTAAGTCTGAATGGTTGAGTCCCCATCTGAGAGAAAAACATGGAAAGTGTGGGGAGATGAAGTGAAAGATGTCCTTTAGTTTTCCTGAGCCATATAACTTTGGATGGGGCACCCCTCCTTCAGGATGTTCCAATTTATTGACCTTGTATTTCACCCTATGCCCTATGATGAGGGGGAACTGAGCCTGAGATGCAATCCCTGAGATTGGAGATTTTATCAGCTATTGATTTATTGTAATGGCAACTGAACCCAGGACTTTGTGCATGCTAAGCAAGAGCCCTTTGTATCCCAGCCCTTTCTATGTTTCTGTTTTTAAGACAGAGTCTCATGAAGAGTGAGTAAATAAACTGTGAGCGGCAGACTACACAGTACTAGATCAAATTGCTGGCCTAGCCTGGGGATTTTCCCTGAAGGACTCAGATGGAGCTGTGTCCTAGAGAACAAGGTGGGGGGAGGGGAGGTGGAAAGGGAAGGAGAGAGAGAGGCGGGGAGGGAGGGAGGGAGGGAGAGAGAGAGAGAGAGAGAGAGAGAGAGAGAGAGAGAGAGAGAACTGGAGAGAGAGAGAACTGGAGAGAGAGAATGGGAGAGAGAGAGAACCAGAGCCAGTGTGCATCAAAAGGATGCTATTGAGCAGATTATTCCTTGACTCTGTCTTCTTGATGGAAAGAATCTACTGGTGAGACACCATTGAAAATAAGTTTATTTAGCAAAACAAACAGAAGAAAGCAGAGCAGAATGATAGTAGTCTGAGATCAGTCCCTGATGCCTTAGCATCTGACCTGGGGAGAAATCGAACCCAAGGGGCAGCTACCAAGCCCCAGCTGCAGTTACCTCGCTCCCCTCACACCTAATTCCATGCCTACCCAGTTTCAGCTCCATGTGCTGCAGCCTGTCCTTAGACGTGAAAGGAGCCACACACTCCTTTTAAGAATGACAGGCCAAACATGTCATTTAAAGATGAAAGTACTGAGAGGCAGGCGGATCTCTGTGAGTTCGAGGCCAGCCTGGGCTACCAAGTGAGTTCCAGGAAAGGCGCAAAGCTACATAGAGAAACCCTGTCTCGAAAAACAAAAACAAAAACAAAAACAAAAACAAAAAAAAAGATGAAAGTACTGAAGAACATATCTCAAAATCCAGAAAAAGAGGCGAATGGGCTCTAGTCAGAACTCTGGTCAGCTTCTCCAGTGGCTGCAGTGTCTTGAGCATGGCATCAGGCACAATTGCTTGGGTCTGAGTTGTCACAATTAGAATTAAATTCATATTCTCCCACCACAAATACCTTCCTGGGGTCATAGTGCCTAGGAAGGCTTGTCATCGCCTTTCTTTCTCCACCTTCTCAAGACCAGTGCAAATGTTACATTAGCCTTAGCTACTTGTTAGTTATGATCGCTCAGGGTGGTTGACCTCCACTCTGCTGTGGAGGCTGTGCACAGCATGGCAGTCGAGTTTACCAGTCCTGTTTCTTGAAGTAACTCTAAAATGGCAATTGTCTTTTAAGTCCATGTTGGCGGCTAGTTTGGGACTGCACAGTCTGAAGACAGCTTAGTTCTGAAGTCAGATCTAAGAGTTAATCAATGTTTGCGTTTTCCCACAGATGCTTTTAGAGCCTTGGATGGAAGGGAAAAAAAATAGAACAAAGGCCACATTGCCATTCCACTCTTCAAGGTGGTTTCTAATTCACCCTCTCCTTGGTGTGAAGCAGGAAAGAGGATTGAAAATCCATTTTTAATTTGGTATTGATAAGAGGCAGTAGCCATGGATCATAGTCCTTCTGGGTAGCCCATGGATAGGGTGGTCAGCATCATCTCTAATAAAGATACTGAATAAGAGTCTTCCAAAACAGGCAAACTCTATGCAGGATCCTCCCATGAAAGCACCCACATGCCCTAAAAACCTTTATACGAACACAAACAAAACAGTGAAAACTATTGCACACATGTACTCATATCTATGCATATATATACCCCAAATAAGAAAACTTTTTATTATAAATATAGTTTGCATTACCAACTTATCCCTTTGAAAAGTATTCTACACAAAATTGCTTAATAATTTAAATTCTTGTCTCTCATATTGTATCTCTGAAGCCACATGGTTAGCAGAGTTGGAGAGGGTAGACTGACAGGGAGTTCTAGTCAAGGAACAGTAGTAGGTGGGAGACAGGGTTTCACCTGATCAGAGAGATGCCCATCCCAAGCACCCTATAAAAAAGCAGCTACATACTGTCTGTCTCCCCTGGTAAATGGTAAACTACTTGGACCAAGACTGGTTTTCATTCAGTGCTAGATCCCACATGCCTAAATCAGTACTTGGCACACTATATACTCAGCAAATCTTTACTAAATAGATAGAGCTATGTATTGATGACTTCTAAAATGTTCCTGAAAAGGTTTTCCAGTGCAAGGGTATCCTAGCAATCAGGAGCCAAAGAATACCATAAAGTCACACCATGCAACAAACCTCACACAAGCAATTCATTGGGGAGAGACACAGAGTGGTGGCTGCCTCTGAGTGGGACCAGAGACAACAGTGAGGTGGGAGGAGCTGGTAGAAGAGTACAACACAACCGGAAGTATTGCTTGGCCATTAACCATGAGTCATGGGCATGAGGATTTCCGATCCCCAGGGTTGGGGACAAGCCAGGGGCAGGGTGATCTTCCACTGGCCTGTTACCCTACAGTTCCACTTCCTATGGGAGAGATGCTCAAGTACAGGAAAGTGGGTTAACTGTTTTAGTTAGTGCTTCTATTGCTGTGAAGGGACACCATGAACATGGCAGCTCTTATAAAGGGAAACAATAATTAATGGGGCTGGTTTACAGTTCAGAGGTTTAGTTCATTATTGTCATGGGGGGAGAAACATGGTGACATGTAGGCAGACATCGTGCTGGAGAGGTAGCTGAGAGTTGTACATCTGGATTCCCAGGCAGCAGGAAGAATGAGAGACACTGGGCCTGGTTTAGGCTTCTGAAACCCCAAAGCCCACCCCCCAGTGACACACTTCCTCCAACAAAGCCACGCCTATCCATCCCAACAAGGCCATACCTCCCAATAATGCCACTCCCTAAGAGCCTATGGGGGACATTTTTATTCAAACCACCACAGTTACAAACCTCAAATTTCCCCCTCTTTTCTGTGACCAATCATGGCATGTACAGATTAAATACATGATCCTTAGAAGAAGTTGCTAAGCCAGGCAATGGTGGCCCATGCCTTTAGTCCCAGCACTCAGGAGGCAGAGCCAGGTGGATCTCTGTGAGACCAGCCTGGTCTCCAAAGCGAGTTCCAGGAAAGGTGCAAAGCTACACAGAGAAACCCTGTCTCGGAAAACCAAAAAAAAAAAAAAAAAAAGTTAGTTTTGATCTTGAATGTCCCTGAAAAGCCCATTTGTTAAACATGTGTTTCCAGATTGGGCCAACTGGGAGGAGTTGAGAGGTGAGGCCTGTTGAGAGGTACATAAGCCATTAGGGGTGACAGAGCCTCACTGGCTGCTTTTTTCCATATCTTCCGTTTTGCTAGTCGTAAGGTAAGTGGTGATCTCTGTTGCTGGCTTTCTTCAAGATATGCCACACACCTGAGTCAATGGGAGCCGTGATCATGGACCTACACTTCCAGACCAGTAACTCAGAATAAATAAACTGTTTTTCAGTCGATGGTCTCAGGCCTGTGTTGTAGAGGGGGAAGCTAATGTACACAGACATGAAGGACTTGCCACCACTTCCTCAGGCCCTCAGCTCTTGCCTCCACATTGGTAGGATCTGGCTGTGGTATGTTATATAACCCACCAGCGGCTCAGGCTAAACATGACTTCTAAGAGACCTATCACCAAAGATTTGTGTAAGATGACTTTATTTATATAGTATGTAAATCTAGAATTTTATTAGATTTACTAGAAATAAATTTTATACTCAAGACATTTTTACTTTTTTAAAATGTGTGTGTGTGTGTGTGGCTTGGTGTGTATGTGTGTGTGTGTGTGTGTGTGTGTGTGTGTGTGTTCACATGTGTGTGGATGCATATGTATTTCTGAGGAGGCCTGAAGTTGACATTAACTGTCTTCCTCAATTTTTCTCTTTATTACTTGGGATTTGTGTTGAACCCAGAGCTTGCCAATTCATTAGTCTTGTTAGCCAGCTTGCCTCAAGGATGTCTATGTCTGTCTCTAGAGTGCTGGCCCACCATGCCTGTTCAGCTTGTGTGGGGGCTCTGGGGTTCTGAACCCTATTCTTCACGCTCACACAGCAAGCTCTTTGTCCACCGAGCTGTCTCCCCAGCCTGTTTTATACCTTGAACAGATTTCTACCTTCCACAAACGTTTGCTCATACCCTGAAAGGAAGGAGGGGGGGGGTGCAAAACAGAAAAATCAACAATGCTTGGCATGCTCACAGTCCTCTCAACAGTGCTCTGCTGGTGGACACCACAAGCCATGGTAGACGTAGCTTTAACCATAGTGTACCATTTGTGTGGAACACAGACACGGAATTTGACTCTTTCTGGGAAATGAAATGCTAAAAAGCCTCTGGAATCCAGGAACACACATTATGAATGCAAGGGGTGGGGTGGTGGCTTCCTATTGGCTGGGTATTTACTTAGAGGTCTGGCTTTCAAATAAAAGAACCACCAAAGTCAGGCGAAGCTTGCTAGTCCAAACATCGAAAAAGGAAGATGGCAAAAGTATTGATTCTTTTGCTTGGGGGCCTCGTGGCTTTATGTGCCGGGCATGGAGTGTTTATGGAAAAACTTTCTTCTAAGAAGTTGTGTGCAGATGAGGAGTGTGTCTGTAAGGACTTGTTAATGGTTCAGTTTGCATTATCTTCCTATTATATGATGGAAACTATGTTTGGCATAAAGCCAGCTTGTACTTTGTAGTGAATCGTAAATGTGTGTGCGTTCTCAGCACTGTGTCTTGTGGTCTGTGTTTGGTGTCTAACTGTGCAGAATTCACTTGCCTAAGATTTTGCTGCAGCTTTTAATCTTATAGCTTTCTCTCTCCGTTTGCAGTCCAGCTGGACTTTTCTACTTTCTGCATATGCTTTGCCTTTTTACTCTTAGGATATCCAGTCACCTCATTTTTTTTTTTTTGTTTTGTTTCTTCCAGATACTATTTCTCTGGCTAAGGCACAGGATGATTACAACGCCCCAGACTGTAGGTTCATCAATGTCAAGAAAGGACAGCAAATCTATGTTTACTCCAAGTTGGTAAAAGAAAATGGAGCCGGCGAGTTTTGGGCTGGCAGTGTAAGATTTTTTTTTTTTAACATATATTTCTTACTTTAACTTACTCTTAACTTTTCCTGACTTTCCTATTTTCAACCCCTTTAATGCCTAATAGTAACTCTAAAGACAATGTGGGGAATGCAAACGGAAACACAAAAATTCAAATCATTTTATGTTATTGTATTAAAAAAAATCTCATGACAAAATTGAAGGTAAGTCAAAATGATGTTTTGAGAAGCAAAAAAAAAAAAAAAA